TGTGTGTGTGTGTGTGTATGAGTATGTGTGTGTATTTATGTGTATAGGTATGTGTATGTGTGTATGTGTGTATGTATGTGTGTATGTATGTGTATGAGTGTGTGTATGAGTATGTGTGTATGTGTGTGTATGTGTGTATGTGTGTGTGTGCATAAGTATGTGTGTGTGTATGTGTGTGTATGACCATGTGTGTACATGTATGTATGTATATGTGTGTAAGAGTATGCGTATGTATGTGTTTATATGTGTGTATGTGTGTTTATGTGTTTGTGTGTATGAGTATGCGTGTGTGTATTTGTGTTTATGTGTGTGTATGAGTATGTTTGTATATTTGTGTGTGTATGTGTCCCTGCATGTGTGTGATGTAAATGGATATCATGTAAACATGCTAAATCAGTTACTTAGGAAGGAAAGAAACTGATGTCTGCAGTGTCGCGATTAGACGAACATTGTGATGGAAAGTCTCGCGGTTTTTTCTGTTGGGGTGTTGCATCCCTTTTAGTTCCAGACTACCCTGACATGTAAGGTCGAAGCAGTGGGTGGTTGGTGGGTGCTCTGATGTGGTTTGCTCCTTTCCTATCAAACATCTATCGTCCTGATCTCTCCTCTTCCTTTTTTGTGTATATTACTCGTGTGTGACACATCAAATCTTCTGCACGTATATGACATTATAGTTTTGCAAGTGCCGTAAAACTCTTACTAAAACAACGAAAAAGGTGGAACACTGCCTCCTAAATTATCTAAATTGTATCGGTGGGGGGGAGGGGGGGGGTATAAAGACCTACATTTGATATAGTCCTGGGAGTTTGGCGGGTGGTTTGTTTGATGTTGTATTGTTGGTTTTCCTGCCTTCGTATTTTTACAAATAAAAAACGTTAAGAATCCTCCCTAAATAAAAGCGAGTCAAGTCTTTTTCTTTGAGTGTTTTACGGCGCTCACAACTGCGTAAAGTCAATACGAGCGCCCGGGACACATTAAACATTTTCAGTTGGTAGGAACTTTTGAATTTTGCCCTGGTGGCGGCTGAAGTCTACTCTTATCGATTTTAGACCACCAAGAAGAGGGGGCAAAGGAGGTGAGGGGTGGGGATAGAAAGTGGAGACGAAAGCACAGGACAGAACATTGTTGGAGATCTGGAAAGAAGGTTTAGTTTTTTACGGGACGTTTGAGAAGATGTAAAACCTACTTGAGCTGTTATTTCTTCTTGGAGAAGGGGAACTGTGATCACGGCTTTGTTTCAGTCTCTTTTGAAGGATCATTTTATATCGTTTGTACATACATAGATGAAAACACTCCAGCAACGAAGGGGTTAATGTGAGAAAACATGATGAAGGAAGATAACTACCTCTCTTTCATCTCGGTGTAAACATTTTGTCATTCATAATCAGTTTTCTGAGGCCCTACTGCTGGAACTGTAGGTCAAGCACTCCTTGATTACATTTCAGCACCTTCCTTGCACCGAGTCACGTTACCTGACACACACTACTGATAAATCAATCACACACACCAGCCTGAGAACTTTCTACCTGCACCGAGTCACGTTACCTGACATGCACTACTGATAAATCAATCACACACACCAGCCTGAGAACTTTCTACCTGCACCGAGTAACGTTACCTAACACGCACTACTGATAAATCAATCACACACACACCAGCC